ATAAGCATACTATATGGCCAAAATTAACAGTTCAACCCCTTCCTTCAAACCGATGTGGTGATCAACATCTTGGCAGGTAGGAATTGATTGTGGATCTCTGAAAAGATCCTGGTACTGATCCAAAAGAGCTTGCATATCTAATGGAGCTGATCAGAGAGGTGCTATTTTCCGTATGCAGATACACCACAAACAAAGAGGAGTGTCGAAGCATGCTTTTGGCGACTTCTTCAGCTAAAGCAAATCTGGAGAGGTGGAGCGTCAAGGCCTCGTAACTGTCGCAATCGACCACCCCACTGGAATTCCATGGTCATCCGACCCCAATCACATATAACAGCTCCTAATGCTTCAAGCCACTGAACTCAAAGAACAAGATCGAGACTAGTTAATGGTAAAGTAAAAAGAGTCAAATGGAAAACAATACCTTAGATGTTAACCGACACATTTTTAAATCATCCGTGACATTTCATTGGACTACCATTCACAACTTTAACCGAAAAGGCTTGAGTCGGGAGTATTTATAATTTCAGCAAGCTTGCGACCTGCTCACTGATAAAATTGTGAGTCGAGCCGCTGTCGAGGAGGATGACGATGCGTGGACTGTGGGTGGTTGCATCAACATGCATCATTTTTGTGGTGGACCAACCAGTGAAAGCATGAAGGGAAATTTGGGATTCCTCTTCTTTCGGTTCTTTTTCTTCTTATTCGGTCCCTTTTAAGAGCAGGACTTGAGCTCGGCGATAGTGTTAGCCTGCAGTAAATTTCTCGTTGTAATTGAAGCAGAGGCCCTGCATTCGACGGTGTTGCATCTCTTCCCACGAAAGGCCCTTCGGGGCAGAATCTACAGCTAGGGTTGGGGGTGGGTTGATCGGGTTACGTTCGACCCTATTGAACCTTCTCTGTTGACCCACTTGCTCCTCCTTCATACGGGCCAAGCTGATGGCCTCTTTCAATGATTTGGTCTTGAACATCCAAATACCTTCAGCAATTTCAGGCTTTAGTTCACCAATAAATGTACCCATCAGGGACTTTTGAGTCCAACCTCTCACTTTATTGCTCAACCTTTCAATTTTTTTTTTTGATAATCTCATAAGGGCCCAATCTGCCTCACTCTGGATAGAGCTTCGTCGAAATCTTCACATTCGGGTGGACCAAAGCGAGCCCAAACCTCTTTTTTAAATCCTGTCCATGTCATCATTCTTCTTTTTTCTTGATAAGTCCAATGAAGCCATTACCACCACTGGTTGGCTTCGCCCTCCAGGTGAAAAGAATATGGTTGGATTTTCTGCTCTTTGGGAATTCCTTGATACTCAAAGAATTGTGCAACGCGGTTGAGCCATTCGATCGGATCATCTCCAAAAAGATAAAAAATTCCAACTTGACGAGTTTGGAGAAGAATGGCTGTCGACCACTGTCATTTCACTCAGATCCTTCGTCACAGTTTTGTCGCGTTTCTCTATTTCAGTTTGGAGTATTGTAGCTGAAGCCTTCACGATTGATTAATAGAGTCTCTGTTAATCGTTTGAGGGTATCCTCCATTTGGCGAAGTTTATCGGCGACTCCAAACTC